GATATATGAAAGAGGCAGACGCGTGTTTATGATTTATCTCTAATCGAGGATTGCTACATATGTAGAGTCCGTTGTAGTGTGTGATCTTAAATTGCCCGCCCACTCTTACATCCAAGCGTGGATTAAGCTTCCAAGGACACTTCGCATTGTCGTCGTGATGCCCATCACTATCATCTTCTTCGCCATCTTTACGGTAAAAACAAACCACATTATAGCTTGTTGCATTGTTTTTTGTTGGCCTAAACTTAATATTTTTTGGATGACCCACAAACGAAGCGCATGAATAATTTCTCATTGCTTTCAAATAGATTCCCTTTTTGAATGAGAATTCCTCGCTTTGTGTATCATCAACACGATATTATTGCCGATAGGAATACTTTTCATCGTGGAGTTATCAATTCATTCTTCTCCATGAAGTTCATCGGGTGGTAGATCCTCTAACACGACATACTCATTGTTAGTATAACATTCGTCAATTTATTGGTTGTCCATTTCATCACGATCTATCAAACACGTCATGCTATTAATTTGTAAGCTATCATCTTCATCACCATCCTTGGATTCGACACTTGCATTATCGTCTTGATGGGCCGTGTTAGTATCGAATGCATTTGAAGTGCCCACAAACGAAGGACTACTCAAATATTGTGACAGTGTCCAACCTTCATCTTGTTGCGGAGAAAAAAAACCGACAGAGTCAACTTTAAGGTCCTCCAACATGCAGGAATACATTCCATCGTGATTCACCGATTTGCCCAAAATTTTCTTATGTTTTTCAATAAATAATTTTACCGAACGCTTCTCGTTGTGTAATACTCTAATGAGACCCATATCGTAGTCACTTAAAATTTGAATGCCGCTTATTCTGTTCCCCCAATAGAATAATGGTAAATAACATTAAGGTGATACTCACGTGAGTTTATTAATATAAGTTTGTGTAAGTCATTAACCAATTCATTGAAAGTAAACGATTTTGATATAAACAACGGTTTCGTCACACCTCCTTCATAAACGGACATATTATTTCCGAGATAGTTAATTTTTCCATCATATGAACAAAGAATTACGATTCGATCGTTCATCGTTACCTTTGAAGAGTAAAAAATTCAATATCAATATTACATGAAAAACTAAAAAAAAAAATGTTACTTACCATTAAATCTCTTAGATCGATTTTAGAAACCTATAATTTTAACCAAATGTCAAACATTTGTAGTAACTTCACGGTTACAAATTTCGATAATTTCCCCTCTAACTTCATACACAATATTATTTAAGTTTTCTTCACAAAATTCATAAATAATTCCAAATTTATTTCAAAATCTAATTTTTACAAGTAATCACCAAAAAAATTGTGAGAATATACAAAAAATTAGGATTAATTTTTTTTAAAGATTTTACCTTAATATTGACGATGCCTTAATTTTCGGTGAACTCTGGCTGTGATGTCCGGTGGGGCTGGTGATAGTGCTGGTCTTAGCGTCGGTGGTGGAGGCGCCGGTAAGGGGCAGGGGTAAGGGGCGTCGGGTTCAGGAGAGCAGCTAGGGTTTGGGTGAGGGGTGTCTGGTTTAGGAGAGGGGTTGCGTGGGATATGAGGGCGTGGGTCACAGGAGTGATCGTGTCTGCCTTATATAGGCAGAGTGAAACTCCACGGGACTTGAAGTCCCGGGGAGTTGCAGGCCGTTTTTTCCAGAGAATAGTTTCTCTGGAAAATGAGCCTGAAACGTACTTCATGGGACTTGAAGTCTCGTGAAGTTTAGCAGCTTAATTAAATGGCTGCTAAACTTCACAGGACTTTAAGTCCCGTAAAGTTTGGAAACTTCTTTCGTCAAAACCGACCCAGTTTCAGCTCGATGGCTGAAACTAGGTCGGCTTTGACAAATATTGTTGAAACATGTCGTTTTTTGAAAATAGTTTTGAAAAAAGGTCGGTTTTAAAATTTTGTCCTTTTATTTATTTATTTAATTATTTTATTTATTATTATTATTATATTTTTTTGGGGCAATTTTAAAAATTGTCGAATTGTTGTAAAATGGCTGATATAGAAAACTTCTAAAAATCAGATACACGGACATAAATATGTACTTAGTCACAAATATAATTAGTAACAAGTAATGAAATTGGGACCGACTTCAGATAAGTAACCTTAGTGGTCTAAAAGATTGTAGTATCAGTGTCTTGCATACGCTTGCACCAAAATTGCAATGAGACTGTTATTCTTAGTTTACTACTAAGAGTTTCATTGTTGTTTCCAGGAATTGCCTTAAAATTGTCCAAATGTGAAGTGTCTAGAGGTATTTTTTTAAAAAATTAAATGTTTTATGATCAAATGTGAAGTTTCTAGAGGCAATTAAAAAAAAATCAAGTGTCTAGAGGTAATCCACATGCCATGTTTGTCCTTGTTTCAATGCATATATGAATCTTTGCTGGTCACCAAAGTTGATACTTTTTTATGAGCAAATTTCAGAGATTTCTCTAACAGTCTTAGAGTAATTAATTGGTTCACTTCCTTGGCGTTCATGCTAATTTTAATTATCATTCCTAAGAACTCTTTGCCAAAGGCACTGGATATGAGATCGTTTCCACGGGCATGAGAAATGGATGAGATATTGAAATAGTCATGGTAGGCCAAGTGGCTTTGTTATCAAACTCCTTATTCTTAATCCTTCTGTGGCTAGTTATAGAAAGTCATAGTTAAGGGAAAGAAAGAGTTTAGAGGAACTCATTACATGCAGAATAAAAGTTTCATGGTATGGCAAGCCATTTTTGAGCTTGGGCTCGATAATTTGTCATTTATCAATTTACTTGACGATCACATATAATTCTATCACATTACAACAGTAGTTAGATTCTTCCCTTGGGGTTTTATTTGTTTATTAAAGATGCTGCCAGCATGCATAGATGCTTACCATGTCAAACCTCACCTACTGATGGTTCATGATCTGATGTGCCTAATATGATTGTTCCCTTTTGAGTTATCAGCATGCGGCAAAACTGTCCAGTTGGTGCTCAGCTTGACTGTCCTAGAGCATGAAAAACTCACTTGTATTCCCTTGATATAAATTCCATTACAGACGCTTACTAGATTTTTCTAATGATGATCATTTACCCTTACGGTTCATCTATCTTACGGTTTCTGTTAAGGACGTGTTTGGTTGGGGGTGAAACTTTGGAAGGTTTTCGCCCCACCGTGGAAATCGATTTTCCCCATTTGGTTTCCCAGAATCCTGGTTAGCTCTTGCAAAAATTTTGGGAAAATTTTCTCCAAACAGTGATGATGTCAGCAAAACTCGGAAACCTAATTCCGAGTTTTTTTTCGTGGAATTGGGGAAATGATGATGGGCATTAAATGTTAGGAGGAATTTTCAAAACAGACCGGTTTTAAAATTTATTCCCCAAAAAAGACCTGTTTCCAGCTTAGTTTCAAAAACCAACCCAGTTGACTGAAACTGGGTCGGTTTTTGAAAAAAAAGTTCACAAACTTTACGGGAGTTGAACTCTGGTGAAGTTTTTTCTCATAACAAAACTTCACGGGAGTTGAACTCCCGTGAAGTTTGTGATTTTTTTTTTAAACCGACCCAGTTTCAGTCAACTGGGTCGATTTTTGAAATTAAGTTAGAAACATGTCTGTTTTTGAGAATAAATTTCAAAACAGGTTTGTTTTGAAAATTTGTCCTTAAATGTTATGGAGGTTGGTAGGGTCATTTTTTGTGCAAATTAATTCATGGAGTTATTCTCATCTCCCCATAACCATCTCATCTTTCTCATTTTTGCTCTCTTTTTCCAGAAACCCTAAAAAATGCTCCAGTAGCCTGGTTCATGTCGATTTTGTCAAAAAGCTGCGATCTTTGCTGTTATCTATAATTATATTGTGATATGGTGGTGGTTTGCCTAAATTGTGAAGGGTTTAAAGTAGTTGTGGATCAAAGTGGGGGGATCTTCTCCGAGATGTGAAAATGAAGCTGTTTAGACTTCAATTTCACTGGTATCTTGTTTGTACCTCGTTTTCTATTTGTAATTGTGACACCAACTATGGAATGTTTGGAATCCTATTTCTTTTCTTTGATTTCAAGGTGAACCAAACAAAAATAAAAAATCACTTTTCCAAGAAAAAGATGGAAACCCGTGGAAATGGCTATTTTAGGTGGAATTGGTTTTCCATTATTTTTGGAAAACAGCCAAACAAACCCTTAGTACCTCATCTTTCTTCCTTTCAATTCTCTGTAAATTTTATAATTCTATGTCTAGTTATATAACAACAGCGTAATTGTCCATCTATCAGGCATCTTAAAGTCGGGTCTAATTTCTTACCTGTTCAACATTATACATATTGTTGCATGAAGTCATATGTTTGCTGTGTTACAATAGTATATTACACCCTTTGTGCATTTGAACATATGAACTGGGTTCTTTGGGAGCAGTATTGCAATGAACATTGAAACTGGAGTAGTAGTACTCCCGAGTTATTTGACTTTTCTGGCTAGTGATGGCTAAAATGCATGCAACGTGTACCTGTCGCATTATTGTGGTTAGAATAGCACTTTAATTTGTCAGAGTTGTCATTAGCTACTTACATTTATTCATAGGTCAAGAATCAAGATAATGAAAAAAAGAACAAGAATGAACAAATTCTTATTATTATTATTTTTGATCTTTCAATTGGAAGTAGAAAATTCATCTCAGTGCTTTCTTCTGACCATAGTTATGCAGCTAAGTGATAGATATTAGTGCTACCTCATTTATCTTATTAAGGTATGACTACCGTTACATGAAAAATGGACATGAATCAGTTTGTGCAGTAACTTTCTATCTAAATATCAAGTTGATGGTTCCAATACATCCTTATATCATTCATTGAACATCCAGACTCGTATATACATGTACAGTATACCTAACGTGCATCCCAAACACAGCTGTTAACTGGTACTGCAGTCCTTGTATCATGTGCTGTTTTGTTACTCACAATTTATTTTACCTAAAAGATTCTGAGTCTTGTGCAGGTTGAGGAGAATGTTGCTGCTGCTTTAGAACTATCAAACACGGGGCATGATGAGCAAATTCTGCATGAGGTCGAAGCTATCCTAGAGCCTGTCAAGAATCAAACCTGGCCCAGTGGCATCCAACGGAGCGTCTAGCTTCCACTTCATCCTGTCTGCTTTTGATTATTGAAGCATAAGAAGAGTGTCAGATAAACGTTTCAAGTTGGGATCTGAATTTGCTGGTTTTGGTTTGTTGTCTTACTGTCCCAGGGAGCTAGACTCATCGTCAAGCGAGCTAGATTGGTTAAGGATATCAGAGTAATACTGTTATGGAGCTTGTCAGAAAACTAGAGATTGCAGTATTGAAAAATTAGGAACTTTTATTGTCAAGGGAGCTGGATTTGGATAAGGAGATCAGAGTAATACTGTTATATTGAACTTTTTTTTTGAACACTAGAGATTGTAGTATTTAGAGATTCGGAACTTGGGCAGAATAGGCAATCACGACTGTTGTAAAGCTCTCATTTTCCTAATAAAGCTCATTGCAAGGATGGGTGTTGAACAAGATAACTGGTTGAATAATATAGCTCATTGCATGATATATGGTCATGTCAATAATCTGTGGTGCCATAAGGGTTGAGATGATCAGAACTCGAAGCACAAGCTTGTGTTAAATAATTTAAATGCTCCTAGTTGCTGCCATCTTATTTCTGCAAAACTTTCTACCAAACTCGATAAAAAAAAAATCCCCACATCATGTCAAATAAAACTTTTAGCAAACGCAGCTTGCAGGCTAGTTCCCAGGGTGTCAACTTTAATTCGTGATAAAATTGATGCAACCCTATCAGTCGAGGTATGGTATAGAGGTATACCGTCAAAATATATTATAGTGTAAGGTTTAGACAGCAATTATAACCATACACAAGGGGGCAGAAAATATACAAAACAATAGAAAATAGACATCCGTACGCCTACAAGATGACCGAATGTCATGGAAAATCCAATGATTATTCTGAATCCCTTTTTCCCTGTACAGATAACATGGCTACAGTATAGATCTTCAACCTATACATAAACACTGAACAAAAATTGCACCAAATGTAGTCCCCAAAGAATGCAAATGATCCCAGCCTTGCTGGTTGTGTAGCGTAAATAAATGCATGCCCAATTTAGCTGGCAGAAAAGACTGCAACGCTTACTTCACTTAATATCCAATGTCTTCCTTGAGTGAAGAACCTCATGATAATGAGTGTCATGGCGTGGCCTGTTGTAGAGAAGGCCAAGCAATTTCATCGTCGTTGCTATACCCACGGATCAAAAAGTCAGTACAGTTCTTTTGGCACCCATGATTATATGGATTACGAAAGCGCCCTTCTGGCCCTCTAAGGTATGAATATCGAACAGCATTAGCAAGCTCATTCGTGGTGATATTTCTTGCTATCTGCATATCATTGAAAAACGTGTCAGCTAAGATTTTTTTAATGGAAAAAGCATTTCCTGCTATCTGCATGTCATAGAAAAATGTGTCAGCTAAGAAATTAGACTGTATAAACTACTGCAAGATGTCACTTATAAGTTATGACAACCAGTATGCACATAATTCCTGCGAAGGGAACATGCTATTTAGTGTTTAAGTTACGTACACAGCAGTAAGTGCTTCATTAGGCTCCTTCGGATTACATTGCTCCCAGGGCTGAATACAGTTTTATTCCCTAGAACAATCTCATTCAGCACCTGTCTTTTCCGTGGTCTTGGACTAGGAGATTCCATCGTGAAGCGTGTAGAACAAAAATATGGTTAGTCAACATACTGGATCCATATTCTAGTTCTTTTATGAATATTCAGCCCAACAATCCACTCTGATAATACCATCGGCCTATATGGAAGAATGTCGCGTAGCAATAATATCAACCAGAAAGCCTTTATTCTGAACTTTTGGGGTCGGGTATCTGAATCCTATTTTTTCCATTTAGTTTTGCGATACCTCCATCAACTAATATCATATCCTTAGTTGCTTCTGACCGAGTTCTAATGTCTTACCTCTAAACCTCTTTACTCCATTAATTATAATTGTATGACTTCTCCTAATTGGAATTAGTGGCTTTCGCTGCACAGAATCAAACCATCTCAATCAATTCCTTCTCATTTTATCCTAAAGGCTCCCTCCCCTACTTGCCCCCCCAAACTATTGAAACTAAATCTTCCCCTCATTTTTCTCCATAAGTTTGAAATTAAGTTCGTGCTTACCCCCTGAACTATTTTCAGAACCACCTTACCCCCTAAACTATAAATTTGTCCCCACTTACCCCTAGACTATCAACTACACTTACCTAGTTACCACCTCTAATTTATTATTTTGTGGGTGTGTTCAATAAAATTATGAGAAGTGATAATTTAGGGGGCAATGTGGGACCAAAATAGTTCGGGAGGCAAGCAAAGAACGATTTCAATGGTTCTTGGGCATGTAAGCACTAAAAATAATAGTAAGGGGCAAATCTAAGTCTGGAGGGTAAGTAGGGACTTGGGCCTATCCTAAATCGGAGAAACTCTAACTTCCTAAGAATGCACTCATTTTGTATCCTCTCTTAGTGTGCATCCGTACATCCATCATAACATTAAAGGAAGGCAGTCACAGCAATTTGAAATTTCAGATTTATAATCACAATCATGTACCTCGTCACATTGTTCTATAGATGTTCTTCAACACAGAAGAAATTAAAATTTTAGTTAAATACTAAGCTCCACTTAGATTATTTTGAAATAAGTTGGTTGAAAGCTATATGTGCAGGTGGCAGGCCTAAAAAAAGGACTGAGCTCTTATTTTTCTTAAAACATTTCTCAGACCTAGCAGAACCAAGGATAGTGAACAAGTACATAGGCCATGAAATAAATAATTTGTATGAGTTTTTTCAAGAAATAGTTTAAAATGATGGGAGTGAAATTGTTCTATATATTATTTGTATTGTATTTCAAAACATAATGGCCATATCTGCAGGAGTTACTTTGATCTGTTAATCAGGCTTCATGATAAATATATTATTCCGTTGAAGAAAGACAAGGTTACGAAAAGTGCTGATCGGCCTAGGTGCCAGACCGGCGCCTAGAGCCTAGGTGCCTGACCGGCGCCTAGAGCCTAGGTGCCTATGCAGTTTCCATTTTTTTTATTTTAAATTACAATAATTGATAATAAGTGCATTAAATCCATAGAAAATTGCAAATAAATAAATAAATAGGTAACAATCATAGATTCATCAATCTTGCGTAAATAGATTAAACAGTAAATACTAAGAAATACCAACACAATAAGTCAATGTCAACGACACAAATATCCCAATTTCAGAAGCATGATGTCCAAAATATTAGCAAAAGGAAAACACAAATAGTCTAATACATGGCGTAATCGGCTAATCTGTTTATCTTTGACTCTAATTTGTTTCTCTTTTTCATGAGGATTTCCTTTTTTTATTTTTTATTTAAGGGTGGTGGAGGAGGTTTGCTGAAGGCTAGGGTTGCAGGAGGTGTTCGTAGTTAGTGGAGGAGGCCGGAGAAGTTTGGAGGTTGGAGGACGATGGAGGAGACAACGGAGGAAATCATGACCAAGACCTAAGCTGTGCAACCTGCATAAGGTGCTGCCTAGGCCTAGGCGCTCCCAAGACCTGAGTGGGTAGCCTAGGTAACGTCTAGGCCTAGGCAGGAGCTTTTTAAAACATTGAAGAAAAATAACCCAAACTGATGATTCTATACCAAATTTCAAGTTTGATCTAATCAATATATTATGTTAGAAACGCCTAAAGAACAAACGAGCTATACTTGAGCACTACCTGTGATGCTTGTGCTACTGTCAATACTATAAGTCCATTTAGCAGGATACTGTCCATAACGAGAAATGCAACAGCCCCAGGATGTTCAGATATCATTTGGTGAATCCATGACCCAGAAGAGGATAGTAACGGTGATGCTGTCCACATTCCTGTATCCTTGCATAAAGAGTCAATCATCGTAAATATGTGATCACAGATATAAAACAGGCAGACCTTATCCAGGTTGGAAGTACATACTATGGATGGTAATACTAGCTCCAATAAATGCTGTCAAGGTTCCCAAGCAAACAAAGATGAAAAAATCCCATTTGTTTTTCTGCATTGGTAGGAAAAGCAACTGAGTTTTAGACCACTATTAAACCACATGGTGATGATCCAAACTGAAATTATATGCATGTCCATTACTAGCACCAATGCTTTTTATTTTAGTGACATAATAACTTACTCACCTTCCCAACACAATTAGATATCCACGGACAGTGATGGTCAAACTGTTCCACACAGTGCTTACAGGTAGGGCAATGTTTCGAACGTACAGGCCGGATAATCTACAGAGAAAATCCAGGAGCAATAAGAATTTCATTGAATAAGCTGCATTTATATAACAAAGCAAACCAAAGAAAAATGGCAGACATAATCACCCACTGTGTGTACCGTAGGCAATGGGCTTGGTTAATGAAGGAAACAAGAACAGTCCCATTATCATCCAAAACCAATTTGTACATTTTATTACTATTAGGAATATAATAAAATCACCTTGCATGTTGGGCAAAGCTGAGACCAGTTGCCTGTCCAAATAGTTGAATTGTCAATATCAATGTTCGACAAAGGATCCTCCTATAAGATAAAAATGGTTGGATAATGAGACAAGCATAACTTATCTGCAAAGTTGAATGAGAAAAAAAAAGAAACAAAGTACAAAACTGGGAAAAAGATCACAGTGCCATTGCATTCAGGGGAGAAAAGGAAATCCAACTGTCAACGGCTGTACCACAGATATCACAAAAAAAAGGAAAAAAAAAAAGAGACAAGAGCCTTAATCCCAAACTTATAATTTTAGGATCAGCTGCATGGATCCATCCATATGTTGTAACTTAAAGTATCCCCACCAAATACCAAAAAGTATCATAGGTCAACCTTGTCAGCACCTGTTTACTTGAATTCACAAATTATCCCTGATAAACATAATATGTGTCTACACACTGGGTATGCTTGGTAACATCACAAACTTGGTGCTTGATAGTCTGCATGAATCCATCCATATGTTGTAACTTAAAGTATCCCTACCAAATACCAAAAAGTATCATAGGTCAACCTTGTCAGCACCTGTTTGCTTGAATTCACAAATTATCCCTGATAAACATAATATGTGTCTACACACAGGGTATGCTTGGTAACATCACAAACTTGGTGCTTGGTAGTCAAGCGGCTCATTCCTATCCACTTACTTAAAGGGGGGACCACATTCAAATGGGTAATATGAGTTGGATAATTCAGGGTGATTATTTTCAAGTGGGGATCATTCAAATGAGTTGATGAGAACGAGCCACCTCACTCGAAACACTAAATTTGTGCTTGGTACCAAGCATATCCACATATACATATATGCGAGACACACATTACACACACCCAAGGTTATGGAAATCAGAAAGCGGAGGGAAGTAACAACGTGCCACTTAGGCTTTTTATGGCTTAAATGGAAAAAAGCACAAAGTCAATTTTTTTTAATTTCATTTAATTTTAAATAAGGACAAAAGTTCCAAAAATAAGAAATATAGGAAAAAAAAAGAAAATTATAAATCAAGCGAAAAATGGACAGGAAAAATCTACAAATGCATATGTGATTATTTATATATAGCCTTAAGCATGAAATAGACATATAACAATACTTGGGTTAATGAAATGTTGTTATATAATATACACATTTTAAATTGATAAAGTTCACAAATAGTTTGATATGCACATCACATAGTCAAAAAATTTATGGCTTAATGTAAATTATAAAAGGAAAGAAAACATACCTATTAAATACAATTATTATTATATTGATCTAAGTTTCATCAAAATTTCAAGTAGAATCCTTTTAGGAAAAAGGAGAAAAAACCATGTAAACGAAAACTATGTTAAGCACCAACCGCTACTACTAGTGCTTGTACTGCTTTTGGTTGCTTTAGACCAACTTGGGCTGCTTTTGGCTTCTTTAAATTGCTTGCGGCCGTAATTAGGTTGCTTTGGACTGATTTTAGGTCATTTTCGGCTTGAAAGCGCTCTGCGACCGGTTTTAGGCCTGACCGAAGCGGCAAGGTGCCGCTTTCGCTTTTTGTGCGCTTAGTGGCAATTGTCCCTGCTTTTTTCAACATTGCACACACCACACTCACAATCACAAACACATTTGTGTGCACAAGGACATGCCCGAGTGGGTGGTGGGCGCATGTATGAGTGGGTGTGTGTCTGTGTGGGCATGAGCATGGGCATGGGTGGAGATCTACGCACATGCTCGTGCGCATGCATGCAATAAGTGTGTGCATGTGTCCATATGAAAAAGGATCCTAAGGTGTCACCTTATATTCAATCTAAAGTTGCACTTTTTGATTCATGGATTAGATTATTCTAATGGATGATTCACACTCTTCATCATGACCTAAATGTCTCAAGATATCTACAAAACAAAACTCATGATGTTTCAATACTTCTAACATATATTTTTCACTTTCTCTTTGGTTGTATCGTCATAGAACAGTTACTTTTACAATAACTTAATGCATGAATAACTATAATCCAATATGCCTACTTTTTTATTTATATACCATCCACAACATATAGATCGAAGTGAACATAGTGGATCAAGTAAATTGATTGTGTATAACATAGCTTTGAAGGTGCATCCTTCGATTGAATCGAAGATACTTCCTTAGTAACACTCCTCCCCACCCACCCACTCAAAACACATAAATGCATTTTCACACCAAAATCACAGCAGGCCGCAAAATTTTTGGTGCTACACTTGTCCAGACAGTGTTTGCCCAATTTTATTTTTCAAGCAAATCAAAACTGAATTGACTTATAGATAGAACCAAACCGAAATAACTTGGTTCTATTCAATCGATTCTCATCCTTGCTACATTCCCAGTAGAAAGAAACAAGAAATGACAGTTGGAAACCATAAACTAGCTCTCCCATTGTTGCAATTATATGAAGATAATATACAAAAAGAATTAACAGTTAAAGAAGAACAAAGTGAAAGATGGTTAAAAAGTGGAGCCATGATAATGGCTTGGCTTCTTTGGGTTTCATAGAGAAGCCTATAAGGGGAGAAGGTGAACGAATCTAATAGGTGCAATGATGAACCCGCAATATACATAATAACAAATTTAGTTGGAGATCATTTCTAGTGTATATTCACATGGTGCAACAGTGGGCCGCATAGAGTTTGAAGTCTGACGAGGCGCGTTTTTTTCGCTAACCATCAAAGAGGCAGTGCTTTTGGAGGTAGTCATTCGCTGAGTTTAAAGCTTTCTGATAGGCGGTTGATACTGCTATACACCTACTTGAGAAAGTTGAACTCGATTCCAATCAAGCTTACTCCCATAATTGAACCAAACTGTCCAAAATCGGATGGTTCAGTCGATTTGATCAGTTCGGTCGGTAGCTTGCTCAGCCTGGTTGTTGATAGTATTTAGCCCCTAAATAATTTCAATCTATGTTGCACCAAAATGATACATTTACACGGCACGAAAAATTTGTAAAAGATAGGGCACACATATACAAATATATGTATGTAGATGGAAATGGGTATGATATGATCATTTTGCTAAATGAGCTACCAAGATATAGACAAGTGGTGAAACCCAAAATAGAACTCACAATTGAACCTTTATTGCGTGGTAGCTCAATTAGCAAATGAGCCTCCAACTCACTACCATCGAAAACATCATGTATTCGTATATATCTACAAACATACATGTATAAATACACACATTTATATGAGGAAAATGGATAGGGACCAAATTTGTCCTTGGTACCAAAGATACTCATCTCTCTCTCTCTATACGTGTGTATATTTATTTATTTCTTTAAAAATGATGGCACCTCTTGTCTTTGCAATGAGTTGGCAAGCATGAGTCCAACTCCTCACAAAACCAATCAATTTTTCTATGCGAGGCTCCAACTCCATGCTGTGAATCCCTCTTTTCCTAGTCCAAGTTGCTAATTTCATAGAATCCCAATAATTATGTGATTATTTAAATTTTCCTCTTAATGGTAATTAATATAATTCAATTCATTAAAATCTTACACAGGAGAGCATATGAATAGTCATTCCATTTAAATATTAACTTTAGGAAAAAAAGATGCATAAATCTTTTGCTATTGTATCCAACCAAAATAAAAAGATCGAAAAACCATGGCAATGACAGAGACAAACTATGGTTCTTTCTTGGACACATCATTGATGGATATGATCATTGAACCTTTTAATCTCACTTTCCATTAAGTTCACAAGGCTTTATCTTAGTTTCACACAACTTTTTAACAATGTATATGATTCTATTTTCTCGTAGATCATAAAGATCTGTAATTGCATATTCATATATACGAAGTAACTCACTAATCGTTAGTTTAATAATTTAATTTTCATAAATGAATCCATCAAACGAAGTTGCTATTGCAGTTGAAGTAGCTACTAATTTCGAAGGAAGATGATAGCTCGAAATTTGAGGTAAAAACTTCATAATAAATGAATTGGTTGCAGAATTTTTATTGAATAATGGCACTTCAAAGTCAGAGCCAGAAGATGGTGCAAAATCTAGTTAGAAATCTTATGAACTTTATAATTAGTACACAAAGAACAAGGATTTTAGTATTCAAAAGCAAGGTCTAACAAAAATAATCAAAAAAACTATTCATAATCGACTTCTAGTATGCAATAAAGAAATTCGCAAAGGTCATCTAACTATGTATAAAGAAACCACAACCAACTAAAAGAATTAGATTTAAAGTCGATCATGATGGGATATGGCATGTAAGTAAGGTTGTTCTTGAGCATAACCATCCATTGACAAGTCGTAATAAGACTCACATCCTTAGCTCACGACATAAAATTTTGTTGAACTATCAGTGTCCATGAATAATATTGGCCTAATACCCACCAAAGTGTATGCTTATTTTATAGAAGAATCTTGAGTCATGGAAAATATTAATTTTTTTCAATGGACTTGAAACGATCACCTACGAAGTATACAAATGAGAGATTTTGGGAAAGAAGGTGTACAATTTCTTTTAAACTTTCTTAATTGTAAAACAATGAGAAGATCCCTCATTCTTTTATGATGTATAAGTGGATAATAAGGAGTAACTCACAAATATATTTTGCTGATGTTATTTCTTTTAACATTATTTTCAAAACCAGTAAGTATAACATGCCATTTACTCCACTTATTGCATGAATCATTACAAACTATCTATTGTATTTTGTGCTGGTCTCAACAATATATTCATTTGTTTGACTATTTAATACATATAAGATTGCAATATCCAGTCGACAACAAAAAACTATAATTATATATTAATCTTTTGCAAGAAAGCAACAAATGAGATATGATTACCAGATACATGCCTTTCTCTTTTCATGGCATATTTTTATAATTGTTGCAAAGAATCTTTCTCGTGTGTGTAATTCTAAGCTCTGGTTCAAGAAAGAAAATTAAAAGATGCATATATGAACACTGATCCTAAAAAAATTTCTTTCTCAATGGAAAAAGATGATTGATAAATATGATCTTATAGAAAATAAATGGTTAGAAAACTTATTTGAGGTTCAAGAAAAGAGGGTTTTGGTG